TATTTTTAGTAGAGACAGGGTTTCGCCATGTTGGCCAGGCTGGTGTTGAATTCCTGACCTCAGGTGATCCACCTGCCTCGGCCTCCCAGAGTGCTGGGATTACAGGCATGAGCCAACAGATCTCTTCTTCAAAACAGTTCTTCCAGCCAGACTGGGTTTGTGGGCCAGCAGTGTGTAACCTCTGGGCAGGACATCCCCAGGATGAAGGTGCTCTGGCCCATGCCTGTGCTATACCAGCATGTGCCCTGGGACATTGCAGATGGCTCCCCCAGCCTCCACGGGCCTGCACTCAGTCTTTTCACCAGAGAACTCGAAATCTCAGAACCCAACTCTCTGTCATGTCATTGAGCCAAATACATGAGTGTGCTTTTCTGTCTCCATTGATTTGTCTGTTCTTACACATTTTGCATAAATGAAATTATGTAATATGTGGTCCTCTATGACTGGCATCTTTCACTTGGCATAATGTTTTCAAGGTTTCCTCATGTTGTTGCATATATCAGCGCTTTATTCTTTTTATTACTGAATAATACTCCGTTTTATGAATTATTTGTCCATTCGTCAATTGGTGGATGTTTGAGTTGTTTCCACTTTCTGGCTACTATGAATAATGCTACTGCAAATACTCATATACAAGCTTGTGTGCTGACATGTTTTCATTTTTCTTGGATATATATGTGGGAGTGGAATTGGTGTATCATATTGCTTTGAGGACACACCAGTTTTCTGAAGTAGCTGCACCATTTTATCGAATACATTCCCATCAGCAGTGTATGAGGGATTCAGTTGCTTTACCTCCTCTCCAACAAGTTTTATTTTCCTGATTTTCTATGATAACTATCCCAGTAGCTGTGAAAGTGGTATCTCACTGTAGTTTTGATTTGCATTTTCCTTATGACTAAGGATATTAAGCATCTTTTTATACGCGTATTGGCCATTCATGTCTTCTTTGGAGACCTCTCCAGATTCTTTGCTCATTTTTAAATTGGGTTATTTGCCTTTTTATTGCTAAGTTATAAGAGTTCTTTATATAATCTGGATACACGTCTCGATGAGCCTCATTTTTGTCCCCCAAATTTAATGATATTCAAAATATTCTACTTACTAAGATAGGACACTTCTAATATGTGCGAAAAACAGTATAAATAACAAAGTTTAAAAAAAAAGAAAGATGCCCATTTGATTTTATCAAATTTTGACCTTATGATACTAAGTAAATCTGATATTTCTTTTTTCTGTAATCATACTATATTTTAGCTAAAATAATTGATAAATGTACCTGTCAAGTCTCAAATAATATTCTAATTAATTTTTGTATTTTAATTTTGTCTTAACCATGCCAGTGGCTTACTCATAGCTTCCAAAGATAAAAGGTAAATTTTAGATTGAAAAATACTGTCAAAATGGGTGGGTTTGCCTCTAGGGAGGAGAATGCTGGATCACACGAGGGCAGGAGAAAGAGAATTACTTTCTGCTATCTATTACACTTATATGCATGTAGCATCATTTAAAAAAAATAAATTTTGGAGCCTGGGTACTGTGGCTCACACCTGTAATCCCAGCACTTTGGGAGGCTGGGGCGGGTGGATCACCTGAGGTCAGGAGTTCAAGACCAGCCTGGCCAACATGGCAAAACCCTGTCTCTACTAAAATATGAAAATTATCCAGGCGGGGTGGCAGGCACCTGTAGTCTCAGCTACTCGGGAGGCTGAGAAAGGAGAATCGCTTGAACCCAGGAGGCAGAGATTGCAGTGAACCGAGATCACGCCATTGCACTCCAGCTTGGGTGACGAGAGTGAAACTTTCTCAAAAAATTAATTAATTAATTTTGGGGCCAGACACGGTGGCTCATTCCTATAATCCCAGCACTTTGGGAGGCTGAGGCAGGTGGATCATTTGAGGCCAGGAATTCGAGACCAGCCTGGCCAACAGTAAAACTCGGTCTCTACTAAAAATAAAAAAATTAGCCAGGCATGGTGGCAGGTGCCTATAATCCCAGCTGCTCGGGAGTCTGAGGCAGTAGAATCACTTGAACCTGGGAGGCAGAGGGTACAGTGAGCCAAGATCGTGCCATTGCACTCCAGCCTGGGCAACAGAGGGAGACTCCGTCTCAAAATAAGTAAATAATAAAACATAAATTTTTGGCAAAATTTAAATGTGGACTATTGTATTAGTCCGTTTTCACACTGCTGATAAAGACATACCCAAGACTGGGAAGAAAAATAGGTTTTATGGACTCATAGTTCTGTGTGGCTGGGGAGGCCTCACAATCATGGCGGAAGGCTAAAGGCACTTCTCACATGGCAGTGGCAAGGGAGAAAGCAAGAGAAGCAAAAGCAGAAACCCCTTATAAAACATCATATCTCATGAGACTTATTCACTACCATGAGAATAACATGGGGGAAACTGCCCCCATGATTTAATTATCTCCCACCAGGTCCCTACCCCAACACATGGGGATTATGAGAGTACAATTCAAGAGGAGATTTAGATGGGAGGGACACATACCCAAACCATATCAACTATAGATTAGATCATGGTATTATATCATTTTACATTTCCTGATTTTGATAATTGTACTGTATTATATAAAAGAATGTCCTTGTTTTTAGGAAATTCACACTGATGGGCTTACGGGTAAAGGAATGACTTGTATGCAATTTAGTCTCCCCAAATGGTTCAGGAAAAAATGCTTATGGGTATTTATAAATAAATAATGACAAAGCAAATATGGTCAAATGATAGGAAGGGTACCCTAGACTTTTCAGCATTCCTTCCCTTTTTCTGTGAGGTTAAAGTTATTTCAAAATTAAACTTTAAAAAAATAAAAATTTAAAAAGAAAAAGCACTTCCAGGGACATATCTTTTATATATAGAGCTTCCAGAATATTCTTTTATTATTGCAATACATATTAATATATATATAATATTGTATTATATATATATAATTAATTTATCTATAATTAGTATTATATTAATACATATAATATATTGAATAGATAAACATGATACATATTAATATAATATCTATTATTAGTAATTTAACTATATAATTATATAATACCATATTCTATAATTTAATATGATATTGATATATTTAATGACTTTGATACACGTTAATATTAGGAAGAAAATAAAAATCATAAATAAAAACTCAAGAATGAAAAAACTTAGTTTTTTGGGGGGGGCTTTTTTTTTTTTTTGAGATGGAGTCTCACTCTGTCACCCAGTCTGGAGTGCAGTGGCACAATCTTGACTCACTGCAACCTCTGCCTCCCGGATTCAAGTGCTTCTCCTGCCTCAGCCTCCCGAGTAGCTGGGATTGCAGGCGTGTGCCACCACTCCCAGCTAATATTTTGTATTTTTAGTAGTGATGAGGTTTCACCGTATTGGCCAGGCCACTCTCGAACTCCTGACCTCAGATGATCTGCCCACCTTGGCCTCCCAAAGTGCTGGGATTAGAGGTATGAGCCACTGCACCCAGCCTCTTTATGACTTTTGTGATCAGGAAAAATACAAGTGAACCTTACCTCTTAAGATCCACACAATTTGCTGCATGTGGTGGCTCATGCCTGTAGTCCCAGCATTTTGGGAGGCCGAGGTGGGCGAATCACGAGGTCAGGAGTTTGAGAGCAGCCTGGCCAACATGGTGAAACCCCATCTCTACTAAAAATACAAAAATTAGCCACGCGTGGTGGTGCACGCCTGTGATCCCAGCTACTCAGGAGCCTGAGGGAAGAGAATCACTGGAACCCAGGAAGTGGAGACTGCAGTATTGCAGTGAGCTGAGATCATGCCACTGCACTCCAGCTTGGGTGACAGAGCAAGACTCAGTCTCAAAAAAACAAAGAAAAAGAAAAAAAGGACCAGCTACTTCAACAGTTTCAACAGTTAACACTGGTTATATCACAACAAAACAAGGGTGGTTTCTCCTCGGTTGGCTCTCCAATATACTGTCTACGTGCATTCCTTTGGCTTTTGGTATTGTCGTAGTTACTAAGGGTGCGCTCCAGCTGTCCTCGCAGAGGACATAACACAATGCTCTGTGTTTATGTGGTTCATTGTTACTCCAAGTGTGGTCCTTGAACCATCAGCGTGAGCATCACCTGGGAGCTTGTCAGAAATGCAAATCCATGGGCTCTATGCCAGATTCTGGCTCAGAAGCTTTGTGAGAGGGATCCAAGAAATTGCATTCTAACCAGCCCTCCAGGGGATTCTGAGGCACATGTAAGTTTGAGAACCACTGATGTAATTGAAAAAGAAAAAAAAAAAAGAGGAAAAAAAAGATAAATCATCAGTGCTAATGATGCCCAAGGTTATCTTTTGTAAACTAGGATAGTATAAATACTGTAAATTGAAGCAGCAAGAACCAATCATTCGAAGTCAAAGATAACTAATGAGCCCCTAGATTCACATCCTCCCAGCACTCACAAGGCATAGGGCCCACAAATCCCCTCTCCAAAATGCAGTGAGGTATCTCATGTGCTGCTAGAGAAAGAAAACGCACTTCTAGTAAAACCGAATACTTTTTTTTTTTTTTTTTTTTTTGAGACAGAGTCTCACTCTGTCACCAGGCTGGAGTGCAGTGGTGTGATCTCAGCTCACTGCAACCTCCGCCTCCTGAGTTCCAGCGATTCTTCCGCCTCAGCCTCCTGAGTAGCTGGGACTATAGGTGCGCGCCACCACACCCAGTTAATTTTTGTATTTTTAGTAGAGACAGGGTTTCACCATGTTGGCCAGGATGGTCTTGATCTCTTGACCTCATGATCTGCCTGCCTCAGCCTCCCAAAGTGCTGGGATTACAGGCGTGAGCCACTGCGCGTGGCCTAAAACCGAATTCTTTAAACTCAAGTGACCATGTCTCCAGGTATAACCATATTTCCTTCAAATTCTCAAAAGTTTTCATCCCCAAAAGCTGCCCTCTTTAGCCACAACTTTGGAGGTGTCTTTAGATTTTGTTCCGGGGCCCTCATGCTCATCATTCATCTTTATTTTTCCAGCAAAGGGTTACCTTCCAGTTCAACATTTACCTTGGAAGAGGGGACCATCTACTTGACCACTGAACCCAACACTCTGGAGGTGCAGGATGACAATGCTTCTGTGCTCGATGTCTATTTAGTAAGTAATGTTTTAGTTTCCTCTCCTCCCCTTCTGGTTTGTAAATGGATCCAGGCCATGGCTTACACAAGAACAAGTTCAATAAAACCAGGCATGCTTGGGTTTTAAAAGAAATGATGGGGCCCTGTCACTTCTGCAAATGATGCTTCTTTTCACAAGCAATGTTTTCCTACAGTTTGTTACACAAAAGAACATCTGGTCAATACGAAATCACCATGTATAACAAGAGAACGAATCCTCTAATGTCGAGGCAAAGTTGGGCTCCTTAGTGTTATTCCCAGCCAGGTAATGTTTTCCTTTGACTCAGTCACTCTCCCTGATGTTTGAATCTTCTGCGTTTTGGCGTTGCTCCCTTGGTAAGTTAGTAGGCCACGAGGCGCAGAACTCATGGGAAGAACCCAAATTCAGCACCGGAGAATTTTGGCTGATTCTCTCCTTGTCACCAACCAGCTTTTGATTTGGGCAGGAACCTTTCTGACTGCCTAAGGAGGGAAATAATGCCTGCCCTGCCTACCTTACAAGGCTGCTCTGAGGATCATGAGTGACCCATTAGTGCCTGACAGATTACCTGTATCAGCTTAATCGAATTGTTAGATGCCTAGAAAGATACCCTGATGGGCTACAGTGTAAAAGAGTATTTTCTGTGCCAAGTGCATCTCACATATATGCTACATCTTTGTGCACCTGCACAAATTTTTTTTTTTTTTTTTTTTGAGACGGAGGCTGGAGGGCAGTGGTGCAATCTCGGCTCACCACAACCTCCGCCTCCCAGGTTCAAGTGATTCTCCTGCCTCAGCCTCCCTAGTAGCTGGGATTACAGGCATGCGCCACCACGCCCAGCTAATTTTGTATTTTTAGTAGAGACAGGGTTTCTCCGTGTTGGTCAGGCTGGTCTCGAACTCCCGACCTCAGGTAATCTGCCCACCTCGGCCTCCCAAAGTGCTGGGATTGCAGGCATGAGCCACCGCACCCAGCCTACCTGCACAAAATTACATACAACAGGGTAAGTGTTCTTTTGGAATTTTCTGGGGTTTTCTAAGTTTTGCTAAACATGAGCCAATATTCTGTGTCACTCCTGGTGTACAAGTGCAGCTTCAGGAATCAGCACTGAGTGGTGCATGTCTCACAGCAGCTCCTCGAGCCTCTTTGAGCCTGCATTTTATGCTTTTCCATATCCCTGACCTAGCACTGTAGTTCCTCACAAGTGCTCTGCAGGGCGTCAGTCACATAAGATGCTACTCCCGGCTCTTCTGGAGTAGTATCCAAAGTCCTGGCCAGGCGTGGTGGCTCATGCCTCTAATCCCAGCACTTTGGGAAGCTGAGGCAGGCAAATCACTTGAGGTCAAGAGTTCGAGACCAGCCTGACCAAGATGGTGAAACCCCGTCTCTACCAAAAATAGGAAAATTAGGCGGGCATGGTGGTGCATGTCTGTAGTCCCAGCTACTTAGGAGGCTGAGGCAGGAGAATCACTTGAACCTGGGAGGTGGAGGTTGCAATGAGCCGAGATCATGCTACTGCATTCCCACCTGGGCAACAGAGTGAGAGCCTGTCTCAAAAAAAAAAAAGTCCTCCAGGCCCTTCATGGTCTAGTCTTCCCTACCCCTCAACCTGCCCCCTCCCTGGGTCTCCCTCTTCCTTGCTGACGCTATTCTAGCCACACTGGCCTCCTTGGTGTTCCTCCCACAGACCAAGCACACTTCTGCCTCGGGACTTTTACATTTGCCATTCCTGTCTGTGTATTCTTTTCCACCCATCCCATGCTCCCTCACTTCTTTCAGGTCTCAGCCCATGTACCCCTTTTTCAGATAGGCTTTTCTTGAAGCCCCGCTCCCACCACCACCACATAAACAGCAGGTCCCCCACCAACCATTGTAAAAATATTTTTTATCTGAATATCCTGGTTTTTGCATGAACAGATTTTTTTGCACTGAGCAATGCTCCTCCCTACCATTGCCCCCGCTTTAAAAAAAATAAGGTTGTAGCAGATCACAAAATCCTTACAGAAAAGTTGGTCCACCCCCAACCAACCAAGAAAATAGGGAATTCAATAGAGAAAAAAATATATTTTTGGTCCCATGTTGAATTCATCTGGAACCAAAAATCAGGAAAGCTTTTCAGAAAGAAGCTAAGTAAAATCTCATCTTCATGAGCTAAGGATTCATGCCACTTTTATGTGTCTTTACAAAACCTAGATTTTCACCAATCATGGAGGTGCAGTATTCCTGAGTGAGCCAAAACTCAAATTCAGCTCCATATGTGGTCCTGCCTAAACTTGAACCCAGGAGCACCCTGTTGTTGTTACTGACCATAAATATAAGTCTCACCTCCATCTCATTGGAATCATGTGTCTTACAAGAGTGAGAGAAGGATGCAGAAAGGAAGGAATGAGGGGGTTTTGTTGAGAATATTTTTTTGTAAAATTCTTTCACTGTTTTTTCCTGATTTTCTTTTTTTTTCTTTTCTTTTCTTTTTTTTTTTTGGAGACAATTTCCCTCTTGTCGCCCAAGCTGGAGTGCAATGGCACAATCTCGGCTCACTGCAACCTCCACCTCCCAGGGTCAAACAATTCTCCTACCTCAGCCTCCCAAGTAGCTGGGATTACAGGCACCTGCCACCACGCCCAGCTAATTTTTGTATTTTTAGTAGAGACGGGGTTTCGCCATGTTGGTCGGGCTGATCTCGAACTCCTGACTTCAGGTCATCCGCCTGCCTCGGCGTCCCAAAGTGCTGAGATTACAGGCATGAGCCACTGTGCCCAGCCTCCTGATTATTTTTTAATGTTCTAGTATAGCAGTTCTCAGACCTTTTGATCTCAGGTCCCCTTTAAACTCTTAAAAATTATTGAGAATTCTGAAGAGTGTTTTGGTATCTAGGTTGTATTTATCAATTATTTTGTGTTTTCAAAACTAAAACAGAATGTTTTTGTTTTTTGAGACAAGGTCTTGCTCTGTTGCTTGGGCTGGAGTGCAGTGGTGTGATCTCGGCTCACTGCAATGTCTGTTTCCCAGGTTCAAATGATTCTTGTGCTTACAACCTTCTGAGTGGCTAGGACTACAGGTGCATGCCACCATACCTGGCTAATTTTTGTGTTTTTTTGTAGTGACGGGGTTTTACCATGTTGCCCAGGCTGGTCTCAAACTCCTGGACTCAGGCAGTCTGCCCATCTTGGCCTCCCAAAGTGCTGGGATTACAGGAGTGAGCCACTGCACCTAGCCAAAATTGTTTATTCATTAATTTAAAATAGTAACCTATTATATGTTAAATAATGTTTTTATGAATATTATATTTTCCAAAACAAAAATAAATTTTGTGAGGAGGGTAGCATTCTTTTATATTTCTGCAAATCCCTAATGTCTGGCTTAATGGAAGAAAAAAGATTCTCACATCTGTTTCTGTATCCATCTTCTTGATATATATAACACATCATTTCATTTCTAGAAAGCTCCATTGTACATCCATGAAAGGGAATGAGAATAAAAAGGCAAATAACATCTTGGTATTATCAGGAAAATAGTTTGACCTCATGGACCCCCAGAAATGATCCCTACAGAGTTTTTCTCATATTTTAACTTAGTCTCTTCACCTGTTGCAAAACCAAATGATACATATATTAATTAGAGAGAAATAGGTACCTGGTCTCTGCCTCTCATTAATCATTGACCTTGAATTCAGTCACCCTCTTTGGGCCTCAGTTTTCTTATCTATAAAATGAATTAAATCAGATTCATTCTAAATTACAAAGAGCTATAGAAATAAGATTTTCCAAGGTGGGAAGATTGCTTGAGGCCAGGAGTTCAAGACCAGCCCAGGCAACACAGTAATACCTCATCTCTACAAAAATTTAAAAAAAAAAAAAAAGTAGCCAGGCTTGGTGGTGCATACCTGTAGTCCCAGCTACTTGTGAGGCTGAGGCTGGAGGATCCCTTGGGCCCAGGAATCTGAGGTTGCAGTGAGCCATGATCTCACCACTGCACCCCAGCTTAGGCAATGGAGTGAGACATTGTCTCTAAAAAAATAGAAAGAACAGAAAAGAGGGAGGAATGGAGAGAGAGAGAAAGAAAAAAGAAAAGAAAGGAAGAAGAAAAGAAAGGTTTCCAAAGTAGCTACTGTTGTTTCTCCAAATTTTGCTGTTTAATCACCTCCTATACCATAAACTTTCATATTTTTTAAACTTAAATTTTATGGCAGTACATCTAGAAAGTCCTGCACCATTAACTTGTAATTCCAGAATGTGTTTTCATGCTGGAAATTTTTATTTTTTGTTTTGCGTGCTCTTCCAGATCAGAAAGGGTACAGCTCATTGCCCTCCCTTCAGTATTTTCATTTGCATCTGCATTATGAAAAAGCAAATGGAGGCCGGGCACAGTGGCTCATGCCCGTAATCCCAGCACTTTGGGAGGCCTGGGAGGCCGAGGCGGGCAGATCACCTGAGGTCGAGAGTTTGAGACCAGCCTGACCAACATGGAGAAACCCCATCTTTACTAAAAGTACAAAATTAGCCAGACGTGGTGGTGCATTCCTGTAATCCCAGCTACTCAGGAGGCTGAGGCAGGAGAATGGCTTGAACCCAGGAGGCAGAGGTTGCGGTGAGCCAAGATGGCGCCATTACACTCCAACCTGAGCAACAAGAACAAAGTTCCATCTCAAAAAAAAAAAAAAAAGAAAATGGAAAAGAAAAGCACAAGAAAGGAAAACCAATCTTGCCTTTGCATTGTCTCTTTTTTCCTTTTGACATAATTTGAATGCTCTGAATCACAGCCATCTTTATCTGAAGGGCAGTTGGAAGCTTCTCTGGTGACCTCCTATTCAGTGTTGTCACCAAACATGGTCAGGTTTCTCTTGTAATGCTCCTTCTCCTTTAAGATAGCATTTCTCTATTAGTAGTTGTAGACTAATCCTCTAGTGCTTTTATTTATACAGTAATGTATAAGCCATTCACCTTTGTGTAAAAATACATAGGCTTAAACCCAAATGATGTATGCCCACCAGATAACATGTG